CATGAATACTATAGCAGAGGACGTAGGACTAGGTACTTTGCACAAGGTCTTTTTGTTGCCGCAACCAGGATTTGAAAACAAGGTCAGACCAAATTAATATTTAGTTAATCAAATATAAATATCCAATTAACTATTCAATTATGTTTGCGATTTCAGCAATCAATCGGTCAGGTCGTTAGATGTTAAGCACTTTGTGGATTAACACCTGTTGAATATTCATTACTTAATTATTTATTTTGATTTTTATGTAATTACATTTTAATATACTATTTTTAATACTTGTGATCTATAAGTAAATGTTATAATATTATTATTACTGATCTATTAAATATTAAATAGTATGTATCAAGTGTTAATTATTGGTTAGGCATTCGCTTACTAATTAGGTATAATCAAAATTATTTAATATTTAGTTACTTGATTATCAATAAATAATTAGGCACTCAATTAAGCACCTAATTTTGCTAACTAGTCTCCTGGCTCTTCTGAAATGGGGCTAACTTGCCTGAAGGCCTGGCCTAGTGAGGTAGCCTTTAGCGATGCTGCCCTCGTTGGCGATAATATCAGCCAGCCAGTCAGCCGTTGTGTCGGGACCTGGAGGCAGTTCCTCCAGATACACCGGCAGATGGCAGGCATTGTGAACTACACGCCAGGCCTCCGTCTGCCAGGAGAATACGGCCCCTTGTTGCCAGACGGTGGAGAGGTGCGCGCCAGCCGAAACAGCCGCGCCTCCTCTGCCCGAATCACCGACATCTTCTCTTCCGCTGCTTCTTCCTTCCTCCTCTCGTGTGCCGGGCTTTCCGGTCTCCATCCCAGTTGTGGCTGTTGAACAGCAACTTGTAAGCGGTCGCCATGGCGATGTCTCCGTGGCGGTGAGCAAGAGCACGAGATTGGGACTCCATGTGGTGTTCTGACTGGCCTTGGAAGCGACGCCCTGAAGGGTGGACTTGGAAATGGACGTCGACTGTTGTCTGTCCGAGTCTACAGACTTCTTCTCCTTTCCCGACATTTGTCGGCCCATTTGGTCGGCCTGACTACGGGGATTGAGGAGGATGGAGACAGCCGCACTGTCGCCTCCTTGCGGTGTCACCATCTGCAGTCGGTCCACGAGGTAGGCGAATGCGGCCAATTTGACGAGTGCGGCAGACACTCCAACGCCCAGGCCGGAGCCCAGTCCAGCTCGGCCGCCCAGTCTCTCCTGACTGAGGCCAGACCCAGCTGCAGTTGCCCCGCCGGTGTCGCCACCAGAGCCCGTCTCCCCGCACGTGTCCACGCAGACGACGACACGTGTCTGCCGGTCGCCAAGCCGGGCGTCAAGACGCGACAGCACTCCGCACGTCTCGAGCAGATGGCGTCGAAGACGAAGCTCTGCCGGGGACAGGTCAAAAAGTCGTGAAATCCTCGGCCTCTGACCTGAGGCTGTACGATACGAACCTGGCCCGGAAGCTGAACGATCTCGCCGTCGTTGGCCTCGCCGCTTCGAACGAGTCGTGACTTCGGGCAGCAGAGATGTCTGATCTCGAGCTCGTCTGGCCGAGATCGGCCGACCTCTTCGCTTTCTTTGCATACTCGTGGCAGTGTCATCTTTGCTTGTGTGCACTCGAAGTCGGCCATTTCGTTGCCGCCTCAAAAGTCGCAACGATTCCGGACCATCATGTCCGGACAACGCGATCACACCGTCGTTGCGGCTCCGACGCAGCATACTTGCTCGGTCGCTGAGCTCCAACTCATCGTCCTCCTGCCCTAGTCCCTCCTTTTCATCGTCGTCATCATCGTCGTCTTCTTCGTCTTCGTCTTCTTCCTCCTCTTCTTCTGCGCCCTCTTCTCTGTCCTGCTCTTCCTCCTCCTCTTCGTCTCTGTCTTTCTCGCCATCGCTACTGCCGACGCCCATCACCCCACCCACCTGCCGCCTGACTGTATTCTGTTGGGCCACCGCCAGTGCAAGCAGCTTTTCGTCTGTCTGCAGCCAGGCAAACTTCGGCTCTATTCTCGTTTCACCGGCACCTGCAGTCCTCGCGTTGAAGCGCTCACTTCTGGCAACTCGAACGGGTCCACCAGTTTCGATGCGATCACGAAAGTGAGCTCCTTTACGTCTCTGTCTACGCTGTCTTCCAGAATCTCGTTTATAGTAATCCTCCTCCTCCTCCGCTTCCTCCTCTACGTCATCTTCTTCATCCTCGTCGTCGTCGTAGTAGTGCTTACATCCTTCTTTCTCGTTTTCCAAATAATGGTAGCAATTTCGATTCTTCTGATAGGCGGTGGCAGCAGCCACGGCGGCAACAGCTGCTGCGGCGGCCATGGTTGCTGTGGAAGCCAGCTCCTGACCGTAGTAGGCCGAGCTCATACCTTCTACTTGGAATAAAGGCAAAGTAAGTCAAGATGATGGCTAACCGTCTACTTGTGTCGGAAATAATATTTAGTCCCCATTCACAATTTAAGACAAAACACAATTCCCGCTTTACGGAGACGTAAAGAAATGCAAAATCATAACTTGCCTGATTTAAAAGTTGTTTGATGCAGTTCTTGCTATTGGGTCGTGTTACGAGGATGGTAGTGATCTAGTAAAATCGATGAATCGTCGAGACTAGAGACAGGATCCTATAGGGTGAAGAGACTCTGATATAATCTGGATGAAGTGGATTGCAAGCCGGAAGGGCCGGTTGCGAATAAAAGGTCAAACCAGTTACATACAGCGAAAGGAAACTGCGACTAAAATAGAGCCACATAATTTTGGTGTTCATATCACCTGATGTAATTTGTCAAAATGTAGTTAAGGATCAATCACTGCTTCAATCTGAAGTCAGAACTTATTTTTTGTTCAGCGGTTCGACTCCCACTGGGGGTGTTGATACGACCAATGCGAGGTCGAAACTGCAGTCCATTCCAGCCGGAATGAGAACAGCTTTTGTGAAAGCAAGGCTAGGTGAAATTCGGTTGAAACGTCAGT